TTTCTCGACCACCTATTGCAAGATAGTTGTGTAAACTAAACATTACTTTTTGTACCCTACCCCCCCTCTGTCAAGCTTTTCCTGTGAACAAACATTGCGTTTTCGTGCTCCACCCTACCCCCGCTTTGTATATCATCATCGCACAATGACAGATCGCTACTTCCGGTTTAGAAGCTTGTTGACAAATATTATACATACCTACACTAAATTTAATGTATCCTCATCTTCAAGTCCTTCAAGYTACTTTAAAAATGCTACTTTGGCGCCATTTTGCTATTACATTTCAATCAACTCTAGCCCTACATTGACCTTGGAGGGTTTAAATACCTCCCTCGCTAAATCGCGCTAAATCCGCAGTAAATACTGTGCGCGACACTGCTGTGTCCGTACTTCAGGAGACTGGCACAAMTAGTGATAGATTATAACCAGCCTTGATTAACTTTGATTAAAWTTTTTWAAAATMATAGAAAATAGAGCTGAACTTCATTCGCGTTGAGATCCACATGCTTCRCAATTATGTTTATTTTGTCACATAAATCTAAAGCAAACTTTAGAACGAGTTTAACATCCTTCATCCAMTATACACGGGCACGCATCTTGGATAAGTTAATATAGAAATAWTCTAATCAAATACTCTCGATAATAAAATTCATTGTACTATTCAWGTGGGTGGGTTGACTAGATCTTCAAAGCACGCATTCTAATGCTACCACATACCGGGGTAGTACAGTTGCGCGACTTTGCAGCGCAATTTCTGAATGAAAGTCTTGCTGAATAAGTCCACTTACTTGCTGGCTCGTATTTGATATTACTTTCCGTTCGTTCGCGAGACATTGCTGCCACGTTGCTCCAATACTCGACGTACTCAAAACCTTGCAACGCCGTAAAYCGCAGCGACGACGTGTTCTATATCAAAGTGTCAGTTAACCAAGGATTACGGCCGACCAGCCAATCACAAAGCCAGAAACTACAGAACAATTCTCAACTTACACTAAATGGTTCGGAYCTCTAAAAATCGATTGCAAAGCTAGMAAGGCGAAGCMRRGGTCTTAGATTTACGGAAATTGCTTTGAATATGATAAAATATCATATGAATTGCGTTTTTATTTTATCTACGCACAGCTTATGATTAAAAAGAAAAGGACGGAATGGACTGGAAAAGTTAACTGACGAGCAAGGAGTTTGAAGACATTGACCGAGGAATATGAGGGAAACGACTGCAACAACAACAATAATTCCTGAAACGGAGCTAAAGAAAGGAAAAAATATAAAAACCATATAGAAATTACGGTATCTCCGGACTTAATGACGGACACCATTTGAAAAAAAACCAGCGTAGCGGCCCTAAAGAGATTGGGTTGTAAATAGCGACAATCTCGCTTGCTGACTCCAGAGTCCACGGGTCCAGAGTCCACGCAGTGCACGTGCTATTAAACGTGCGCAAAAGGTTATTTTGCGTCGAACTTGACCTGAATTCAGGGTTTTTATCTTCTACTTCTTTTTTTACGTATGTGTACATAGCAGACTAGACCGTTCTTAAGAAAATAGTTCTTTTCTAAGGTCTTTCTGCACAAAAAACATCCTAGGTAACCCAGGGGTAATCTACTGTTGTAGTCGTCGTTCAGTCGTTCCTCGCGACCCAGAACGACAGAAGATTAGTCTACCCCTGGGTTCCCGAGAATGCACAAAAAGCGTCAATCAAAACATTTCGGATTAGAGTAATAGAAACAGCAAATAACGACTAACACCAGCCTTGATTACCATATTAATCTATGTCTGAAAGGAGATAATATACGCAAAACAACAATTGTTGATCAACAAATCTGACCCAAAGTCAACAATACCGATTTTTCGAACTATGAACTCGCCTCTCGTTTTTCCGATGCTGCAGAATCCGTCAAAATACCCACCAAAGACTATAAAATAACACTGAATATAACCAACTTACAGCCCAAACATTGAACAATRACAGTAGACTTAATACCATGTGCGAATCACAAAAGCATGACCGCCAGGAAATGTTTCATAAATGGTCAGTATGCCAATTATAAGTGACTCTAGCAATAAACTGCAGTTTGAAAGTTCGAAATAGCTAAATGACTACATTTCTGGAGTTATTAATACGGAGAACACAAATTGACGATCGCTGTTTTGTGAGTCGCATTGCAAACGTATTTAGTAAAACACGTTTTGTACAATCCAAAAACCCAACCAGGCCGTAATTACCTTTTTTGAAGTGACATTGACGAAGACAGCTYACAGAACCGCTTGAATCCAAGTTTTCATCGTCAAGTCCAATAGCATTGTATTCACATGAATCTCTTTTTTCTTTAGCCATGTTTTTACAAGAAAAGAACAAATTTTTTCATGAAACAATGACCAAACCAATCAACAAAAAAGAAAGGACCCAGTACATACACGATTTCTGTACACACAGGTGTCCAATRAAATGACAGGAAAACCTTTACCGTGATTGGCTGGAAAGTCTTGTATTTACCCAGCATACCCAGAAATGATGGCAATTGCTATGGTTACCAATTATACTTTGATGATTTTGGGAAGTTTAGTAGTCCTTTGCTGTCCGCTTTGTCAGTTCACTGGCAAAATTGTTTTTCTAACGTAATGTGAAAAGACGCACAGTAATTCATAAACAAGTTGCGCACAGCCATCAACCAAGAAACGCTCATTTTTGCTGCATTTAATGACATAAAGTTAACGTTCCCTTCACAAAAATAGTACCTAAATATCATAATTCTAAACATTTCCAATGTATTCATATAATACACGTATTCTAAATATCTTATTATTAATTCTTTGGTATTTTATCGTTTGCCATTGTCCTTGTCAGGGTGAATCTCTTTCTTACAACAATCTCAGTKTAGAGTGTATCCCGCAAAAGCTTGAAACGTTTGTTTCAGTTTTGTTCAAGAAAATTGGTGCACAAGCCCTCGATGGTTCGTAGTGTTTTCGTATTGCTMGTGGAAAACACTAAAACACTTCGGAAGCAAATGGCAATTGTTAATGGACTTCGGCACTCAAATGAATATCTTAAGATTGCTGACGAATAATTCGGTCCTTTCAACTGTCAGGAGTTCCTGGTGTGCTATGTGTTTTGTTCTTGTCGTCTAGCATCATATTCTTTGATCAATTCTTTGATGTAAGCTAGTTTATCATGGAGATGACGAACCCGTTTCTTGTTGGCTTCCCATGTTGGGTCCTTCGAAGTAAAATTGAAATTACTCAGTGGAMTATAACAAGATGATGACAATGATAACAATACTCGATGATGGCAATGATGACTGATGATGACGATTCAAACTTAGCAGGTGCGCACATAAAAACGAGGTGTTTTCGGGTAAAAATATAATCGTGCTTTGGAAAACTAAAAGCCCTAACTTAGGGCCTGCAATTTCTCTAAAAGAACATCTCGACAACTTGTTCATGTCCACAAGTGTGKCAAAAAAGCATCAAAATGTTCTTGAAAGACAATTTTAAGGTTTACCTGTTGCTGTTTCTGATATAATGCAAGGACTTGTTTCTCAATCACCTGTAACAGTAATTTTAAACCGCTATTAGATAAGAAAATATGTTTCCTAGATGGCTCAGGGTATTAAGGTACAATCATACGTGAAGCAAAATCGTACAACTTGCTGCAAAACAAATTGGAAAGCGATATTGTGCGTTATACTAACGGCAAACTTTTTTCGCAGCAAAATATTTTGTTGCAAGTTGAAAAAGTTTGCTGCAGAAAGTAGAAGATGGTTCTACTTTTTGCAACAAAACTCGAAGATGTTGCCCGTATTACTACAACAACCCAACTTGTCAGCAATGTTGCCATAAATGTTGTAAGATTTTCCTGCTCGTAATCAGACCGTACCTCTACTCGTTCACTCTCTATCCAATTCCTGCCCGGGGAGTTTCTGGACCGGTAAAAGCTTGCACAATGTACAGTAACTGTACTTTTAATAATAACGAAACTTACCCCTTTTTCCTTACTGCCCTGGTGACATTTTTCAAGTTTCTCCTTGAGTTCTTCAAATTTTTTGGTCACAGAATTTATCTTATTTTGTAACTCCGAGTACTCCTTGAATTCCACCTCAAAATCTCTTCGGTAAGATAAGCGCTGCTCATAATTTGTAATTTGTTTGTATTTTCTGTTAAATTAAGAAAAAATTATTTTTTTTCAAGCTAGACAAAACCCCTGTGAATGATTTCGTACTTACGTTTTATAATCTAAATGGGATTCATTGGAAGTATTTTCTGAAATAATTAAAAAATATTAGAATCAACTAAAATCMAATTTTTGACACAATTTAGTGCATTTTACCTTGTATTGTTGAAGTTGTTCTCTTCTCCGTTTTATCTACACTATGATTTGCATCGACATCTTTTTGTTTTGTTTTGTCTTTCTCTTTGGKTTCCTTGCTAACATTATTATTGATAACTCGTGCAATTCTTTGCTTCTTATTGACTGGATTTGTGTATGGGCCGGATTCAGAAGGTCTCTTTTTGTTCTGGTTTAAAATGCAAAAATAAGTTGTTTGGATTGTTGGATACTTTGAAAGTTTATTCTTGATTTGGTGTCTTGGGTTTGGTTTGTCAGGACACATGTTTAGGTTGGTTTTTGGGTTTAGTTGTCTGGTTAGTTGTTTAATTAAATAGTCGTTGTTTGATTGGATGTGATTTGGTGTTAGTCGATTGCAAGTGAATTGTTTGGTATGTAAGTTAGTGGTTGTTTTTACTGGAATGCATGGATTCATCAATGGATTGTAGAGTTACTTGATTGATTGACTGGTTACAGTGTTGTAATTAAATCATTACCACAGATTCTAAAGGCTTTTCTGCATTGTGGTCACTCTTCCGTAAATATTTTTTTGAATCTTCTTTTGAATTGGTAATTCTACAAAAAAAAACATAAAAAATCTTTTCAAAGAAAGACATTTTATTTCAAATGAAACAAAAATTAATTCCACATTTGGAATCAAATGCTGCAGGTACATAATATCACGGTTTATCAGCCATGAAACTGCACATTTCAACCTACAAGTCAAACGAAGAACACCCAACAAGTACTAACCTTTTCTGTACAATTTGCTTTTCATGATCATTATATGGCCATGAGTCAACCTATTAAAATGAAATGCATATTGAATGAAAAATGCTTGTAAAAAGGGGAAGGAAYAAAGATATTTAGAGTTYCCATGATAACAWATCTAATTTAGAGTTYCCATGGTAACAAAATTGATTTTTTATTTCCATGGTAACAAAACACCATGTTTCCATGACAACATACCTTGATATCGGTGTAAATATGTTTAAGTAGATTATATTGGTTATTGTCCAGGGATGTAACCTGAAATGGTGAAAATCATTATTGTCAAAAATGTTATAATTTAATTATTAATTATGGGTCAGAGTATTTCAAATTATTGTATATTATTTTAATTAAGACTGACCTGCTGTAATATATTTGTTAATGCGTTCTTGTCCAGTCTTACTCCATCTGAAGAATAATAATATTTTAGCAATGAATTAATGTTATCATATTGCATTCAATCTCTCACTTGTATTTGAATCACTAGGGCACTGTACGTCAACAYTGTAACTCTGATAAGATAACATTTSTCAATATCTGAACATATTCWAAAATGTTCTTTACAGTGGATATGCCTGAAAATACCAGTACTATGAATAAACCCAAATTGCATGTACCCGTCCAGGAACAAAATTGTCTGGACTGCACTTATAAGTTAATGGCATTAATTACAGGGGTATAATTATCATTTGGAATAAGAGTGATTGAAGTAGGCATCTGTGTCTCAAACAATTTACAATCATATTTATTAAGACATGACATAACCATTGGTAAGAGGTAAGGGCTAAACTGTCAGTAGCCACCTATTATCAAAACCCCTGTAATTGTTTATAAAGAATATATTCACAACAGTAAATACCTCTGCTTAGTCTGTCAATCAACTCAGGTTTCTTAAATGGTCTTATGGCGAGCAAATGAATAACTCTGTCTCTACATATACAACAAACCAACAATGAGCACATTAACACAACAAATAAAAATATCTCTTATATATAGACCCCTTGCATGTGATGTCAAAGCAACTTCATCTGGAGGTCAAAACAAAAGATTTTTTGCCCTCTTGGGAACTAGAATCTATTCATTTGTCCCATTTGTCTGAATTCCATTCCCACAAACTGCAAGGGGTCTATAGACCTAATCAGCCAATGCATTACCACATAGGCTTCCACCTAATTCAAATTCTATGAGGAAAAGAAATTTTGTTTCTAGGAATACAGCTGTGAAATGAAAATATAATGAACAATAAAACTCTCTCCCAGGTTGTTTGAATTGGGTAGATGCATTTATTGAAAATTTGTTTGCCAATAAAGCACTCCTTCTAACATTTACATGGATTCTAGGATTAAGTGCTTTTTTGCAAAAAAAAAATATATATATATATTTAAATTTTTGTCAATCAACATCATGACCATTTCCTGACAAAATGCTTTTAACCAAGGCAAAGAGTATTGGCAGCAGTCACAKGAGATCCCTCAATGAAAGACACAACACTAGATAAGGTGTTGTTTGTCGAGCACAGTTCATGAGATTTTGAAACTTACAAAAAATAAAAAATYTAGATATTTATGATGTACTTGTAATCAAAGATGAAATCTGTACCTTAAAGATTTGCTGGCTCCATTTGATACCTTTACCACATGAGGGATTTTYGGTTTTGACACTGACTTCAATATGTTGTTTTGTCTGGTTGTATGTCTGTTTTTCTTTCCTAAAATATTGAATTACAAACAAAGATATCAAACTTYCTTCAAAAATAAACAACCACATATTTGTCAGAATAAACATTCTTGTCAAAATGCTTTTMTTTTTACTGCCTTCTTAATATTTTGAATACACCTTCCTACCTTTTCCAGGTGCCACAGTGTTAATTACTTTTGTTCTAAACAAACAAGATAACATTTCTTAAAACTGACATTTAAAATATAATGTTCTTAAACTTGAACTCTCTCTAACTGAATACSACTTCTCTTGAGAGTGGAGGCAAAGAGGGTAGAGGCTGAGCCTATGAAATGAGACTTGTAACTGAACTAGACCCTTGTGTCAAATTCAAAATGGTGACTTTTGTTACTGTTTTTAGCAGACAAGTTAAACTGCTTTCCTTACCGTATTTCCTGTCTCTGTTCTTCAGCCACTTTCATTCGGTCCTGCGTCATTTTATAACTATCGTCCGTAGCCAGTATATTCATTTTATGATTAATGCTACCAAATGACATAACAGATTTGGAATTGCTTGATTGTTGGATGCAATCCAGGCATCCTTGACTGTCTCTTGACTGCAGCTTAGAACAGTTGAACATAAACTGCTGTTTTCCATCTCCGCTTGTAGGTATTGTGATTTTCTGGAATTGGAATCATAAATAATCGATGCACAGTGTTTTTCTGATAGCATTTTACTCTCAAAGTTAATATTCAATTGTTAGAGTAATTGTAACCATAGAAAACCGTCGTCATTGATAATATCTGTATTATTTATCCCATGGGTTTTGAATTATTAACTCTAAACAGTGTATATCATATGACAATATACCCCCTTCCCTTCCATCCCCCAAGCTGCCCCCTCCCCCAGACTTCAACTGTTAAAGAAAGAAAATACATAGTTCTATATAAAAACTGATATACGAATACACATGGGAAGATAATAAAATAAAAATAAGCCCTCTCTACACACTAGCATCATGTCTCATATTTATGTATCAAAACCAGAGTACAATGTGTCATTTAATAGATCAAAGTGATTGGCTGTTTTGAGACAAAACAATAATTTGCAATTTCCATGCTTCTAGTCTAGTTTAGCACATCACACATTATTGCATAATCCTTTACGGTAAAGACTTCAGACATTTTAATGAAATGACAAACTAACTGTGGTAATTATAAAGATGACAAAAATACACTTTCAATATCTGAGGACAGAATTTTTTCTTAGCTGTCATACTTAGGGAAATTTTAATACCAAATTCAATTCCGTTTTGAGAACAGGAAAACATAGCTTGAGTGCTGTTAAAAATATAAATGCTCTTCTATCTTTTAACTAAATCCAGAGTGCGGTTCTTATCCACTTAAGGTGTTTTTCATGTTTATGCTAGCTTCCCAGTTTAGACGTCAAAAGGAGTTAAAAATAGTGAGCTAGTGCAAAATAATATCATAAAACTCACTGCTTSATTAGGAATTTCTCGAGTGTGAAATAGATATTTTTTACTTAGAGCAAARGAAAGAATAAATCATTAGATCTGGTTGTCATAGAAAAGAAAACCTTTGAGGAACATGCATGYAGTTATTTAGAATACACGAATGAGCATAGATTCCATTATCGAATGATGTTGATTCAAACAGGTTTTTGACTTGGACAATAAAACATTCAACAAGAAACCTGGGCAAGGATATTGCATGTGGAAAAAAGCGTTATTCTACATCATAAATATCGAAGTATCACTGAAAATTTATATTTTAAGTCATCGGATATTATTTTCAATGGTATATAGGTTATTTGGCTACCTAAATTTTGGACAAAAATTTCAAACGAAATTTCGATCAATTCGTTCAAGAATCACCCGAAATGTTAACACATCAAATGCCCTTTTTGTCAAAAATTCTGTAGTAACTTACCCCAGTTTGTCCTGTGAACTTAATTTTTGGAGTTTGCTTCGAGCTCCCCTGAAAACAAAAGGTTCAAGAAATGTCCAAAAGCGAAGCACATACCATGCCATCTACTCAGAAAAATCGTCAATTTACCTTGAGACTTTTGAAGCCTTCGAGCGCTCGAAGACATGAGTCAGTTAGTTTCACATGTATTACRACCTTATCTTCACATAAATGGCCTCCTGATAAAAGTTGGTACTTAGTATTTGGTTGGAGGTCGATAGCCATTGCCTCATGTTTTYTCTCACTTTTTCTTGATCAGACGTTCTTCTTCGTCTACTCTGGACACAACATCCGCTTTACTCATTACGCGTGCGCACTTAATCAATTTTCCATATAAGGTAATATTTAAGACCTCACGACCAATCACAATCATTGTTGGTTTCGAAACGAGGCGGTYCGATTTCACTTCCGCCGGAAATATTATTTTTTCATAGCAAAACATTGGGCTTCCTGTGTAACTAARGCGACCCCTTTTGTTTATATTCGCCCACATAAATTMATTTATTTTCGCATAAACAAGGTAACAAAAGTAATTAAAGTTGTGTTTATTTCGTGAATATTTCAACCCCCTTGTCTGATAAATATCCTTCCCGATAGATTCGTAGACAATTACAAGTCCCTCTTATTCCCCGGCACAAATTTTTATCCGATTCTCGACATTTTATTCCTCCTTTTTTGTCCAAAGAGAGCCGACTTGTTGCAAGCTCAAGGATTTGTTGACATTGACTTTGAATGTCACGCAAGATCAGTGATCTACGGTCAGTGATCATGAGTACACCCATTCTTTGAAGTTGGGCAGTCAGTTGTCAGCCTTGATCTTACGTGCGGGCATTTCTGAACAACTGCATAAGGTCATCAGCTGTATACAGAAGATCTCAACAGTCAGAAAAAAGAACAAACAAAACCAGCGGCTTAACTTGCAAAATAGCCAATGTGCGCGGCAGACATCTTGGATTTTGAGCGCGCAATGTATCCTGGGAGACTGAGTACTTGTTTACGTTTTTCTCGTCGCTCATGGATCTTCATAGTTTTGTGAAGTAGTTCCTAAAATGAGCATAAACTTTGATAAACAGAAGTTCCAGGTGCCTTTTTCAAAACTCTTTTGAAGCTGCAACTATTACTGAGCTGAGGCGTTGGTTAAAATGTCGAGGAGCATCCATTAAAGGTCTGAAAAGTGAGCTTGTTGAAAGGTAATCTGTCACACTTCGCACCTCAATTGGTCAATTATAATATCCTGTCAGAGTAGTAAACTATACTTTTCGAAACGATCTAGGTGCGAAATCTACTCAGCTGATCCAACAAGGTTTCACAATGTGATCGACCCGGATTTAATCCATTCCGACACCAGAATCTATTCTTGTAAGCTGTCCTAGCGTGAAAGACAACCTCCAAGATGGCATACTTTGGACTAGATCACTTCTTGGTTTGTCCAGTGGTTTTGGGGAGGGAAAAATATTTGAACATCTTGGGCCCGGGAGATTAAAACACAGAGTTGCTGGGTGATCAACATGCTTATATCAACGAACAAGATATCCAATCTCGAAGTGAAAGGTATCGTAGAGCGTACGGGAAGGATCTCAGTGTAGAGATCAACAACATAACTGGGAGAGTGGACGAAGGCCACTGGGGCTAAAGGCATTTGCAAACATGTAGCAGCGATGTTATTCAAGAAAATGTGCCTCAAGATCTCATTCAATTAAGTCTGAGCAGAAAGAACAGGTACTTACAGAGCAGAACTACAGTTACTAATACTATACTTCCAAGTT